TAATTCAGAACGAGAACACAACGTATTATTACGGAAGCGTTTTGAAAAAGTTGTAGCCGTTTCGGACAATATGCAATATGCAAATGAGGTCACCTGACAGGAACTACTTTTAAAAGACTCCTGTTTATTTAGTTAGTTAGCATCTTGAAATTTCAAGATGCTAAGTTGAAATTTCAGGATACATACGAAGTTGTAATTTCAAGATCCATAAACTGATATGTACGGAAGCCTTTTAGGGCCATTTGTTTTTTAAAAATGTTTTCGGTACTATCTTGAAATTTCAAGATTCAGAAGTTGAAATTTCAAGATATTAAGTTGAAATTTCAAGATACATATGTTGAAATTTCAAGATACATAAGTTGAAATTTCAGGATACATACGAAGTTGTAATTTCCAAATCCATAAACTGATATGTACGGAAGCCTTTTAGGGCCATTTGTTTTTTAAAAATGTTTTCGATACTATCTTGAAATTTCAAGATTCGGAAGTTGAAATTTCAAGATATTAAGTTGAAATTTCAAGATACATATGTTGAAATTTCAAGATACATAAGTTGAAATTTCAGGATACATACAAAGTTGTAATTTCAAGATCCATAAACTGATATGTACGGAAGCCTTTTAGGGCCATTTGTTTTTTAAAAATGTTTTCGATACTATCTTGAAATTTCAAGATTCAGAAGTTGAAATTTCAAGATATTAAATTGAAATTTCAAGATACATATGTTGAAATTTCAAGATACATAAGTTGAAATTTCAGGATACATACAAAGTTGTAATTTCAAGATCCATAAACTGATATGTACGGAAGCCTTTTGGGCCATTTGTTTTTTAAAAATGTTTTCGATACTATCTTGAAATTTCAAGATTCAGAAGTTGAAATTTCAAGATATTAAGTTGAAATTTCAAGATACATATGTTGAAATTTCAAGATACATAAGTTGAAATTTCAGGATACATACAAAGTTGTAATTTCAAGATCCATAAACTGATATGTACGGAAGCCTTTTAGGGCCATTTGTTTTTTAAAAATGTTTTCGATACTATCTTGAAATTTCAAGATTCAGAAGTTGAAATTTCAAGATATTAAGTTGAAATTTCAAGAGACGAAGTTGAAATTTTAAGATACAAACTAAATAAATTCAAAAAGCATATGGCCCTAAAAGGCTTCCGTATGCAGAGCCTATTTGCACGGGCGCTTCACCCACCGATTTCTTTAATCAAGAAAATGTCACAAGAAAATTTTGGTCCAACCCCTTCATCCAGTGGCCAATATATTCATACGTCGCGTCCAAGATCATTGCACTTACATAGCGACTCGCATGCACGTGTGTGTGTGTGTGTGTGTGTGTGTGTGTGGCTGCTTGTACTAATCCGGACTGATGCCGATTTATAGCGCTAGCCAACTGAGACACCATGCCGCAGTTTAACATGAATACCCCACTCAGTATACTGACTCCGAGCTGACCAGTGCTTGTTTTAGCCCCTTAATGCAAAGTGCCAGACAGGGTAAGAACAAGTACCATCTTATAACGTCTTTTGGTATGACGTGGCCGGGATTCGAACACGGACCTTCCGCTCTCCGGGCGGACGCTCTACCACTAGACCACGGAGGCGGTCGCGCACTAAATGAACCCTACCAAGACTACTGTTATAACACTCCTTGAAATAAGGAAGCTTTATCTGCACAATGCCTACTCAAAACTGACGTGGATTAAAGTGAAGGACAAGTGAGTTCTTAAATCCCAGCTCGAGATGCACGTACTGCCATATATAACCTCTCACAGTCACATGACTGCCGATTCATGCCCGGATTGAAACCACGTGATCAAAACTCAATGATATGACAAAATGGATACTTCTTGAAAAACGCATTTTTTGTCATACTGGGCGGTGGGGTAGTCTAGTGGTTAAAGCGTTCGCTCGTCACGCCGAAGAGCTGGGTTCGATTCCCAACATGGGTACAGTGTGTGAAGCCCATTTTTTCTTGTGTCCCGCCGTGATATTACTAAAACCGGTGCATCACGCATGCACGTACGCACGCATGCACGCACGCACGCACGCACGCACGCAATGCAAGTAATATTCCTTATCGCGCCGGAATGACTTCTTTTCACTTTATAAGTATTAGCAAACACGCAGCTATCACCGTTAATTAATAATCGCGATTATTTCAAGTAGCCTAATTACAAACATTGTCTGAGGCGCCGCAATTTGCTTCGCAGAGTTGCGTCCCTTAGGCATGCCAGAAACCTATGATTGTGGGTTCGAATGAGGATCGGTTTGAGGGCCATGTTTCGAGGTTTTTGACCACCATATTCAGGCTCGCGGATGTCATCAATGTGTTAAACCTCTAACACCTGCATCACTTGCCTCCGCCATCAAGCTGACACGCCGAAATATGACTGAAAAACTGTTCAAAGCGGCTTTAAACAATACTCACTCTCTCACTTATTGGCTAGAGGCGCTGTATAGTTCTTTTTGATCGTTTCGCCTTCTTTCCCCTGCCGTGGCGATCAATGGCCGCCATTCTCGCGTGGCCCTGGTTACCTTGTCCGAGACCCGGTCGCACTGTTGACACTTGGCATATCACAGGCAACACGTCAATAGAGAGCGCCAGGTGAACGACGGTGATGTGTACGGAAAAGAATAGGAAAATCGCCATGTGTTTGATAGCGAAGCCGCTCACTTTACGGAAGAAATGCTTTTTAGTTGTATTGATTTTTGTATTTATGTAATTTTTGCATTTATTATTTCTTTCTTGGGTGTGAAAGGTAGAATTCAGATGATTGATTTTTTTGATGTTATTTTTGCGTTTATTATTTTTTTTTTTGGTATCAGTTCTTGGGTATCAAAGGTTGAAATCTGTTTATTGATGTTTTTTTAATGTAAATTTTTGCATTTATTATTTCTTTCTTGGGAATGAAAGGATGAATGCAGATGATTGATTTTTAAATGTAATTTTTGTGTTTGTTATTTTTTCTTGAGTATCAGGTCTTTGGTATCAAAGCTTGAAATCAGATTATTGATGTCTTTGTAATGTTATTTTTGCGTGTATTCAGAATATTAATGTTACCGAATTGTGATGGGAAAATTTTGAAGGAAAACGTGGACCAGTTCATCTCATGAATAATGAGGTGTGTGTGGGTCTGTGGCGGGGACAGGGAGGGGTGTAGATTTTTAGCCTGTCCGTGTAGTGTCTGCCAATACCGCGGTCCGATTCGTCAAAAGGTGAGCTGAGGTGGAATGGGGTTTAACGTCGCGTCCAAGATTATTGCGCTTATATAGCGACGAGCATGTACGTGTGTGTGTTTGTGTGGCTGCTTGTACTAGTCCGGACTGATGCCGATTTATAGCGCTAGCTCACTGAGATACCATGCCGCAGTTTAACATGAATACCCCACTCAGAAACAGTGTACTGACTCCGAGCCGACCAGTCCTTGTTTTAGCCCCTTAATGCCGAGGGCCAGGCAGGGTAACAACAAGTACCATCTTTTAACGTCTTTTGGTATGTCGCGGCCGGGGATCGAACACCGGACCTTCCGCTCTCCGGGCGGACGCTCTACCACTAGACCACGGAGGCGGTCTCGTACCAAATGAACCTTACTGACTACTGTTAACAAACTGATATTAACAAGGGACGGATGAGGGGATGAGTTAACCGCAGCTACTTCCGCAGCCATTTAAATAATAACAGTACTCAGCGAGATTAACAGTGACTGCGACCATGCTTGTAAATCCAAGATGACTCATTGACACATGTTAGACACGATCCAGGGTAGAATAGGTCATCAGCAACCCATGCTTGCCGTAAAAGGGGACTAACGGGATCGGGTGGTCAGGCTCGCTGACTCGGTTGATGCATGTTATCGTATCCCAATTTGCTTTAATCGGTGCTCATAACGTCAATCACAGGGTTATCTGGCCCAGACTCGATTATTTGCAAACATATAGCTGGAATATTTCTGAGTGCGGCGTTCAACATCAAACAAATGAAACAAAAACACTTGACACGATGTAAACATTACTGGTTATTGTTTTTGTGCATTTCGGCTAAAAGCAGAGTCGCTTTACGATTCCGACTATATCATGAGCATGTGTTTAAGAATCACTATCAGATAGTGATGATACTAGATGTTCGCGAAGAGGTGAGCGTATCCTGTCTCACCCAATCAGCGATATTTGTGGATATGTGAGTGGGTGAGTTTTGTTTAACGCCGCTTTTAAAATTATTCCAGTTATATCATGGCGTGTCAGCTTAATGTTGGAGGAAAGCCCGACGTGATGCAGGTCTCAGACGTTTACCACTTCGGTGAAACCCACGAGCACGGGTATGGTGCTTACAGACCTAGAAACATAATCGGGGCGAACCGGGATTCGAACCCACAATCCTAGGTTTCTGGCGTAGCCAAGGGACGCAACTCGCGAATTGCGGCGCCCTTTACGACGGGGTCACCCGTGCCCTCTCAAGAATTTGATGTCTTCCACTACCCTATTGTGTAAATGTGACTTATGAAATATTATAATTTGCTTCTCCCTCATAATTTTGTTTTACTAAATAACTGTGATAAATTCATTAATACGTCATTGTATCAAAGCACTGTTTCACAATTGTCACCGTGCTAAGTAAGTACTTCAATGTTTTGTTCGTCACACACTCACTGGGGCACGGGTGGCCCAGTCGTCTAAGGCGCCGCGAATCGCTGTGCAGAGTTGTGTCCCTTGGGCACGCCAGAAACCTATGATTGTGGGTTCGAATCCCGGTTCGCCCCGATTATGTTTCTAGGTTTGTCAGCACCATACCCGTGCTCGCGGGTTTCACCGAAGTGGTAAACGTCTGAGACCTGCATCACTTCGGGCTTTCCTCGAACATTAAGCTGACACGCCGTGATATAACTGGAATACTGTTAAAAGCGGCGTTAAACACAACTCACTCCCTCACTCACTCACACACTCACTCTTCCTCTAGTTTTAACAGTGCTCGTGTTTTTATGATTGCAGGAAGGAGTTTAGTGCAGTAGACTGGGCGACCGAGAACCGAGTTAGATTCCGGCCTGTGTCATGTGCCAATGGCGGTCCGAAACGGTCACAGCTGCAGCTGACGAAGCTGGACGGGGGGCGACGTCATAACCCCCACGCCGGCCTAGCCAGACACATTGACCAGCTGCATGGGAAGGTGGGTGGCGCTACGTTGCGTGTTTAAAGGACATCACCGACCGATATCTAAAGACTGGAAGACTTAAAGTAACACGTGACCTAAATATATCAATGAATGTCCCTTTCTACACGCGACACCGTTGTATATTGACCATTTATCACCCAAAACCGGCACAATTCTTCGGTGAAAACAAGCGATCTCTCCTATGGCTGCCATGAAATTGTACCGCAATGCTTTGCAGATCATTGTGACGTCATCAGTTACCATGGCGTCATAATTAAATGACATCACTAATGGCTCTGCCACTGAAGCTGGTTAGCTGTACTTTTTTAAGAGATAACGTCACAAAAGGTCTGCAAAGCTTGCGACGATGTTCATTGTTGCGATATCTACTAGGAGATATCACTTGATCTCGCGATAGCTCACGTGGAAGCGAGTTTTAAATGATTCATACTTCAATCTTTAAGGCTTTGGTTGAGATCTGAAATCCGGTAAAAACATGAGACACTGCACTAACGGGTTTCGAAAGTCACTTGAAGATAATGTATGCAATACTATAAATGGTAAATCCTGTCGAAGCACCGTGACATTCTTTGTGTTATTCCAAGAAATGCACACGTGACTACATGTTTTCTCCACAGAAGCCGGTGTGCGCTGTCCAGACGCTGTTGAAAGAACCTCCCGCCGACAAGTCCCTTGCTCCTTCCATGTACACGACCCAGTTCGAATACCGGAAACCACCGGAGCCGCGGCTCGTCATTTTCCGGCGAGACAGACAGAAGAAAGCCATTGGGATAGGTCAGAAACTAGCCATACATTGTCAACCGCCATAATTATTGTGTTTCCAAGTTGACAATACCGCTGCCAATACCCATGACAATCCAAAGAAAAGACAATTTTTTGTGTGTGAGTGCTATCTCAGTGGGCAAGCCTTATAAAATCAGCATACAAGTAGCCACACACACGTGCATGCACGCCGCTTTATAAGTGCAATAATCTTGGACGCGACTTTAAAGCCTATTTCACCTCACCTCCTCATAAAATCCTTCATGGAACGTTCTACCATCTCCACTACAGGGTAGCGTTCGAAATAAGCGCCTGTCCGCATATATCGTGTCGGGGCCGTAGTTTTAAATTTGTATGTATCCTAAAGGCCTGCAGTAAATTTACGTGTAGATTTATTTGTCGCAATAAGCTGCATTTGAGGGCCTGATGAATTTAGTCAGGGTCTGCTGCTTCTGAGGGGGCACGGGTGGCCCAGTCGTCTGAGGCGCCGCGATTTGCTGTGCAGAGTTGTGTCCCTTGGGTACGCCAGAAACCTATGATTGTGGGTTCGAATCCCGAATCGCCCCGATTATGTTTCTAGGTTTGTCAGCACCATACCCGTGCTCGTGGGTTTCACCGAAGTGGTAAACGCCTGAGACCTGCATCACTTCGGGCTTTCCTCCCACATTAAGCTCATACGCCGTGATATAACTGGAATACTGTTAAACCCTACTTACAAGTTATATTGAAACTGAATATCACTCCCTTTAGAGTACCGTGCTTATCACAATTAAAAAATTGGAATGAGTGAGTGAGTTGGGCTTAACAATATTCCAGTTATATCACGGCGTGTCAACTTTATATGGTGGGAGGAACGCACAAAGTGATGCAGGTCTCAGACGTTTACCACTTCGGTGAAACCCACGAGCACGGGTATGGTGCTGGCAAACCTAGAAACATAATCGGGGCGAACCGGGATTCGATCCCACAATCATAGGTTTCTGGCATGCCCAAGGGAGGCAACAGCGAATCGCGACACCTCAGACGACTGGGCCACCCGTGCCCCCTGTGGATAGAGAGGTAGATGTAGACGTTGTTGTAGATGTAGATGTGTATGTAGATATAGATGTGGATGTGTATGTGGATATAGATGTGGATGTGAATGTGGATATAGATGTGGATGTGGATATAGATGTGGATGTGGATATAGATGTGGATGTGGATGTGGATATAGATGTGGATGTGTATGTGGATATAGATGTAGATGTGTATGTAGATATAGATGTGGATGTGTATGTGGATATAGATGTGGATGTGAATGTGGATATAGATGTGAATGTGGATATAGATGTGGATGTGGATATAGATGTGGATGTGGATGTGGATATAGATGTGGATATATAGATGTCGATGTGGATGTGAATGTAGATATAGATGTGGATTTGTATGTGGATATAGATGTGGATGTGGATGTGAATGTGGATATAGATGTGGATAGGTTTCTGGCGTAGCCAAGGGACGCAACTCGCGAATTGCGGCGCCTTTTACGCCTGGGCCACCCGTGCCCTCTCAAGAATTTGATGTCTTCCACTACCTATTGCGTAAGTGTGACTTATGAAATATAATAATGTGCTTCTCACTTATAGTGAGTGAGTGAGTGAGTACGGTTTTACGCCGCTTTTAGCAATATTCCAGCAATATCACGGCGGGGTACACCAGAAATGGGCTCAATACATTGTACCCATGTCGGGATTCGAACCCGGGTGTTCGGCGTGACGAGCGAACGCTTTAACCACTAGGCTACCCGACCACCCCCGTCACATGACTACCCTGGTTCGAATCCCCACATGGGTACATTGTTTGAAGCCCATATCTACATTGTGTCTGCCGCCGTGATATTGCTGGAATATTACTAAAACCAGCGAAAAACACACGGGGGCGGTCGGGTAGCCTAGTGGTTTAAGCGTTCGCTCGTCACGCAGAAGACCCGGGGTCGATTCCCGACATGGGTATAGTGTGTGAAGCACATTTCTGGTGTCCCCCGCCGTGATATTGCTGGAATATTGCTAAAAGCGGCGTAAAACCATACTCATTCACTCACTCGAATAACAAAGCAGGTAGTGCGGCCGCTCGTCATCACGGGTTTGATTCCCACTCTTTCAATTTTAAATTTTAAATCTAATTTTGAGCCTACTGTATGGCATATTTGAACATGCGTCTAAAAAATCTTTTTCTTGCAGTGCCTCAGAATAACATCTCCTCTCGGACTGACGTTCGCGAGGAAATGATGCTCCCAGTGTGCCAGTCGGTAAGTTGGACGCCATCTTCACGAGGCAAGGGCGTTTACTGACTCAGAAGTCCAGTTACCACCGTCGCCGAACTAGGCTGGAATTTCCAGGCTCGATCGTAGCGCCACAAGTGGCTATTACGAGTGAACTGACTACAAAAAGTCCACTTCCAAGTCGATCGTGGGCGCCACCTGTGGCTATTACGAGTTATGTCCCTTGTAATGTCCCTGCTATTGACCAATCAGAAGCCATTACATATCACTTGCATTTGCTTCAAACAAAATGGCGGCACCCAGTGAAATCGATCTGATCGTTAACCAAGTTCTATATTGTAATAAAACGGATCTTACGCTGCGAAAAATACCCATCAAATCACTTGAGCACCTTGATTTAAAACATGAAAAGATTTGCAAAATATCTATCGACCCCCAGTTGTCGGTACACGTGTTTTGCAAATGCTGCAGTCGACCGAAATCTGCACGTTGAAATCCATGTAGTTCGTTACGCGATTTTGATTGGACTATGCATAGACTCGTTAGTCCAGCCAAAATGTGTAATCCCGGAATACCAGCCTAGGTAGACAAGGGTGGGAGCTGGACTTTTATAGTCAGTTAATACCCTTGCCTCGGGAAGATGGCCGAGACATTTTAACATAGAGCGGGCAAAAGAATGTATACACTTTGGATTTGATCTAACAATTACAAACGTAAAATCAAAACGTACTTTGTTACACAGTCGCCGAAACATTCCACCTTTCTAAAGGTCCGAAGCACAGCTCCGTATCAAACACATCACGACTAACCATTTCTTTGTTTACATTTTAAACACCATCACACATGGGTTTATGTTGTTTTTTGCCCGGCAGTTTAATCCTCTATTAGAAACTCACAACACTCATAATTCCAGGTATGGGTAGGCCCCGAACTAATGCTGGTCGTTAGTGGTGACGTAATGGATCGTATGATCACGTGACTTGGATGATTGCGTGTCATCGTCATTCTACGTCGCGGGACGCTGCTCATAATATCAATCACTGGATTGACTGGACCTGATTGATTAGGTACATGACGCCTACATATAGCTGGAATATTGCCCAGGTTGGCTTTAAAAATAAATGAAACAAAACAACTCGTGGTTCCTCGAGCTTTATTTTAGTTTTTTATTATTTCAGTTGGAAATGCCAAGTTTGGACAACCCCCACACGTATCTCCCACGGAGGAAGCGGATCAAGACCCCGTATGAAGGTGAGCTATCAAAATAATCTCGGAAATATGGTTAACGTCCTCTTTTTAAAAAAAATAGTATACCACTCAAAATAAGAGAACACCAAGATCCGGGGTAGAATGGGTCTTCAGCAACCCATGCTTGCCGTAAAAGGTGACTATGCTTGCCGTAGGAGGCGACTAACGGGATCGGGTGGTGAGGCTCGCTGACTTGGTTGATACATGTCATCGCATCCCATTTGCGTAGATCGATGCTCTTAGTGTCAATCACTGGATTGTCTGGTTCAGACGCGATTATTTACAGACCGCCGTCATATGGCTGGAATATTGCTGAGTGCGGCGTTAAACAACAAACAAACAAACAAACAAACAGAATTATATTACTACAGTTAATCTGTCGTGGTATAACAGATTAACGAGGTCACCCATATCCCTAATATTAAGGTGGAGATAATTATTAATCCTTTTTATCATTTCAAATGAATATGTACGAAAACGACATCCCACAATGAGTGAGTTCTTGCGGAAGGAAGAGGCACGGGTGGCCCAGTCGTCTAAGGCGCCGCGATTCCCTGTGCAGAGTTTCGTCCCTTGGGCACGCCAGAAACCTATGATTGTGGATTCGAATCCCGGTTCGCCTCGATTGTTTCTAGGTTTATCAGCACCATACCCATGCTCATGGGTTTCACCGAAGTGGTAAACGTCTGAGACCTGCATCACTTCGGGCTTTCCTCCCACGTTAAGCTGACACGCCGTGATGTAACTGGAATACTGTTAATAGCGGCGTTAAACCCAACTCACTCACTCACTCTTGAGGAAGGATAGATTACCGTGTGTCAAACACTCAGGATGCGTGACCAGTGCGTCTTTTGTGTAAGGGGCGCAACTCTGCTGTCACAGGTTGCAGCGCCTGACGCCGAGGTGTAAATACATGAAGCAGTCATAAAATCCTTCATGGAACGTTCTACCATCTCCACTACAGGATAGCGTTCGAAATAAGCGCCTGTCCGCAGATATCGTGTCGGGGCCGTTGTTTTAAATATGTATGTATCCTAAAGGCCTGCAGTAAATATACGTGTAGATTTATTTGTCGCAATTAGCTGCAGTTGAGGGCCTGATGAATTTTGTCAGGGTCTGTTGCTTCTGAGGGGGCACGGGTGGCCCAGTCGTCTAAGGCGCCGAGATTCGCTGTGCAGAGTTGTGTCCCCTGGGCACGCCAGAAACCTATGATTGTGGGTTCGAATCCCGGTTCGCCTCGATTATGTTTCTAGGTTTGTCAGCACCATACCCGTGCTCGTTGGTTTCACCGAAGTGGTAAACGTCTGAGACCTGCATCACTTCGGGCTTTCCTCCCACACTAAGCTGACACGCGGTGATACAACTGGAATATTGTTAAAAGCGGCGCTAAACCGAACTCACTCACTCACTCTAATTCTTGAAGTGTGATAAGTAGGGCAAATGATATTCAGTTTCAATATAACTTGTAAGTTACATAGTTGACATAATCTTTCTTCATAATGTAGTCATTCCCATAGTCTTGTATAACTTCTTAAAGGAAGCGCAGACGCTCTTTGTTTGTTAGTTGTTTAATTTTTAACACGCCGCACTCAGCAATATTCAAGCTATATGACGTCACTCTCTAAATAATCGACTTTGGACGTATGTAGCTTGTTGGACGGAGTTGTATGAAGCAGGACATGCTCTTTCATACGAAAAGGTACACTCCGAAGCAGTGGTGACTTAGCATAACACGACTGCCACAGACTTATTTGCATATCACGCCACCGGACTTTTCTCTTGTTTGTAAACAAGCGCCATTATTCTGAAAACAGGCCTAATGCAAGCCTTTCGGTGCGCTTAAACAGGGCCATTTGGGAGGGAACGGGTGATCAGTCGTATAGGGCGCCGCAATTCGCGAGTTGCGTCCCTTGGCTACGCCAGAAACCTAGGATTGTGGGTTCGAGTCTCGGTTCGCCCCGATTATGTTTCTAGGTTTGTCAGCACCATACCCGTGCTCGTGGGTTTCACTGAAGTGGTAAACGTCTGAGACCTGCATCACGTCGGGCTTTCCTCCCACATTAGGCTGACACGCCTTGATAAAACTGGAATAATTTTAAAAGCGGCGTTAAACCCAACTCACCCCCTCACATATCCACAAATATCGGCTGATTGGGTGAGACAGGATATGCTCACCTTTTCGAGAAAACCTGGTATCATCACTATCTGATAGTGATTCTTAAACACACGCTCATGATATAGTCGGAATCGTAAATCGACTCTCCTTTTAGCCGAAATGCACAAAAACAATAACCGGTAATGTTTACATCGTGTCAAGTGTTTTTCGTTTCATTTGTTTATGTGTTGTTTAGCGCCGCACTCAGCAATATTCCAGCTATATGACGTCACTCTCTAAATAATCGAGTCCGGACCACACAATCCAGTAATTGACATCATGAGCATCGGGCTACACAAATGCTCTTAATGGAAAAAAAACAATCGTTTTTCCCACCGTCTTGTATTGTATCTTAAAGGAGGCGCAGACGACCTTTGTTTGTTTGTTTGTTTGTTGTTTGACGCAGCATTCGGAATTCGTCTTATATTTTAGTACTCTAAAACTGTTCAAAGCATTAAGCCTTATCCACTCACTCATACACTTACTTATCTAATGTACGCTCGATTTGTCTCTCGCGACAATCACGCTTGGTAAAACCATGGTACATGGTGAGAATCCACTGGCCCGTGTCCAATTCGACCTGATTTTCTAAACTGGTTTCATGTTGCAGAGGAGGGTGTGTTCTACAGCGAATCTCAGTGCGCCAATGTATGCAGCGCCCCTACCGGTGGGGTGAGGCTCGGAATCACAAACCTCACAGGCAAAGAGTTCACCCGGAGGCGATTCGTGGCGCCCCCTAGAACTACCCTCACAGTCAAAGGTTAGTAGGCTAGAACACTGGACCAACATCTAGTGTCTAAAATGAACATTTATCATCCAAAATCTGCATTATAGATATCGCTGCAATAAATTGCATCACAATGCTTTGTAGACAATTGTCATTGGTTACCATGACGTCACAACCAAATGACATCACTTATGGCTCTGCTACTGAAGCTGTTAGAAGTACTTTTTACACTTAGACACTGCTTATTACTGTCTACAAACTGAAAAAAAGTTGGAAGAATGATGTAGGATTATAAATATAATCTCACCCTCGTGTCTCTTGATATCAAATATATCGACACTGTCTTAATAATAATATAATAAAAAGGAGCCTAGAGACTCTCTCGACACTGCAGGAATCTAGACTTGCCAAATATTATAGACTTGCATGGGTTGTATTGGATATATTTGTATCAGGGTCGGTATGTCTACTCGAACTCATACAATGAGGGCTCCCGCGACGTCTCAGTCCAATAGAACCTCGACAACACAGGGGGACGGTCGGGTAGCCTAGTGGTTAAAGCGTTCGCTCGTCACGCCGAAGACACAGGTTCGATTCCCCACATGGGTACTATGTGTGAAGCCAATTTCTGGTGTCCTTCGCCCTGATATTGCTGGAATATTGCTAAAAGCGGCGTAAAACAAAAATGACTCAATGTGTGAAGCCCATTTCTGGTGTCCCCCGCCGTGATATTGCTGGAATATTCCTAAAAACGGCGTAAAACCATACTCACTCACTCACTCACTCGACAACACAGTCAGGAATCCATATTGGAAGTAGCGTGCATGTGACTGCCTCAGCATATCACAACCACACGGATCAATCGACACCACTCGCGCCTTTCCGTAACCTGAAGAAGACTCATCCATTGACGACTCGCCCCCTTCCGTCGCCCTTCGGTTTGTCCCGGAATGACACGAGTGTCACGAATGCTTTGCGGCTATCGTGAATCCGATGACTGTTCAGATTGTTTCCGGTTGTACTGGACCAAAAATCAAAATTTACACCTAATTTCTGTTAAGCACAGGATGACTCTGTTTACAAAAACAACCGTCATCTTATACGAACTAGGCCTCCGTAGCCTAGTTGAAAGAACTTTTACCTGGAGATCGGAAGGTCGGTGATACGATCCCCGCCAAGGCATACCTAAGGTCCATTCGTGACCAACTCGTGTTATTCCGGGACAAGCCGAATAGCGACTCGTGCCCCTCCCGTGTCCATTTTGGGACCGGGTTCCGTCTTAGCGCAAACGGGCATACCTAAAACAATTGTCAACTCGTTGCGTAATGTTTCACATATATTTCCCCATATATTATATATATTTCAGATATAACTAAAAGCATATCGGGACATGCGGAATTATACAGTATGATTGAACACATTTAACTGTGTCTTGGGTATATTTTTAGATGCCAGACATATGTAAAATCAAAAATTATTTTTGAGGGATTCTTTGACGAAAAACTTGAAATCATACGCCCATTCTGATTGGTTTGTCGTAGTTTCGCCCATAACATTCATCGATGGGGGACGAGTCTTCTTGCAGGTTACGGAAAGGGGCGAGTGGTGACGAATGACCTAAGGTCATTAAAAGATAGTACTTGTTGTTACCCTGTCTGGCGCTCGGCATTAAGGGGCTAAAACAAGGACTGGTCGGCTCGGAGTCAGTATACTGTGTCGGAGTGGGGTATTCATGTTAAACTGCGGCATGGTATCTCAGTGTGCTAGCACTATAAATCGGCGTCAGTCCGGACTAAACTTCCGAGCAAAAGTATACACCCATGTTTGTTAGTGGCTAAAAATGAAACATACGAGAAATTGTTATTCGACACTCACTCACTCACTCACTCACTCTGTTTTGTGACTGTTTCAGGTTTCGACGGCGGCCTCCCCCCAACAGATAATGGAACCTTCCAGTCACAAATGATGCCCTTTATGAGGGCCAAGAGCATTATATGAATCTCAGGGGTGGAGGGTGGGTGGGTGGGTGCGTTAGTGGCCTTTCTTTTACAGTATTAGTGTTAATCGTTAATTCATGTTTATTTTATTTATGTATTTATAAGGTTTCTGTACGTGTGTGTGAGACGTATGTTCTGGCTGAATATGCGTGTAAGGGTTCGTGCGCTTAACGTACGTATCTTATGCGTAATGTATGCACGTGCACGTGCACACAACGCATATTTGTGCGTAACTTATTCATGTGTGTAACGTATTCGCGTGCTTAACGAATGCATGTGCGTAACATGTGTGTGTGTGTGTGTTTGTTTGTATGCGTGTGTGTGCGTGAATTGCATGAACGTACTATACGCATGAGCGTCTCGTGTGTTTGTTGGTAACGTATGCGTGTGCGCAAGGTAACTATGTTTAATTAAACTAAAGGTTTAGGCTCTGAGTTTGGTCTGAGTTGTATATATGTATATATGTCTTATTTATTACAAAGTGTTTGAAGTGCATGGACACAGTATGTCTGTTTAACAGCGCCTTGATTTCGTTTGATGGACATTCAAAGATGTTCCATTTGTCTCTGGTGCCAAAACAATGATTAGAAAGGTTTGCGTATGGTGTTACATTTGATCAATCAAGCTTTTCTAGAGAGTCATATTTGTAAATATGTGTGCTAATAAACGTATCAACCTATCATTGTCAAACAGGCTCTTTCAGCGATCACATAGCTGATTTCTTCTTCTTAAAGGTGTTCCTGGATAGAAATACAATAAACTACGGTTATAACGAATTTATAACGAAGGGATCACTAATTTTAGTTCGTAATAACCGTAGTTCGTTATAAGCATAATTATATACAACAAATGGTCAGGACTAAGAAATAAGTTCGTCATATCAAACATGGTGTATACTTTCGTTTCGTTTTTTTATGAACGCAGGGTGTTTTTTATGTTTGGGTTGAAAAGATGAGGAGGGCGGTTGGGTTACAAAAAATATAAATAGAAAAACTCATAACTTAGTGGCAGGTACATTTTTTTTATACTAACAGGGGTGGTGGGGTAGCCTAGTGGTTAAAGCGTTCGCTTGTCACGCCGAAGATCCAGGTTCGCTTCCCCCAGGGATATTGCTGGAATATTGCGTTATTGACCTGTTAACGCTCTGACTTAGTATCAATACTGTGTAAAGATTATCTTATAAAATGGATGTGACATTTCTGTTTCTGAATGGAAGAATGTGTTAAAATGCAATAAAACCCATGGCTCGTTGATGACAAACGTAAGGCAATTGTTTTCATGTCATAATTAAAGGGTCCAATCAGAAAGCACCTTTCACCCAGGCGTTATTGTCGTGAAAGTGTGTCCGATTTTATCGATTATACAAAACTCGTTAATACAGGAAGGAGTGATCTATATATGCCATCCATTTAGTCTGGAAATATTCGCGTGCACTTCTGTGGAGTGTAATCAGTTCTGTGTCAAAGTTTGGTTCAACAAGCTTTCAAGGTTCGGTGTTACAGACTCGTCTTTAATGTTTTCCACAATACATTACAAGTACCAGTCGATATGAAACGTTACTAAACAATGTCTCATTTAACAAACTACTTTCAAAACAAAGCAGTCGAATAACACCAAATACAATTCGAGGATAATTATCAACAAATAGACGCCATAACATCTTGATACATGGGCCAACGCTGGCCCAGTCGTCTAAAGCGCCGCAATTCGCTGTGAAGACTTGCGTCCCTTGTGCACTCCAGAAACCTGTGATTGTGGGTTCGAATCCCGGTTCACCTCGATTATGTTTCTAGGTTTGTCATGACCATACCCGTGATCAAGTTCCAATCCAAGATTAATGCTGATCATGATTCTTGGTTTCTCATGCACATGAGATTTACTACCATGGGAAATAATAAACCTTTGACCTTTGACCGGCATCATCAAGATGACGCGTACTGAGATGAAGAAGCAACGGAGGAAACAGGAGGGAGAGGGAAGAGCCAGGGCGGTATCCCCGACCCTGAGCGTTTACACGCTCAACCAAAACTAAGAACTGTTTTCTGATAATATCAAACCGAAAGAAAAATCTTTCCACGAACCATAGGAAGCGGACGTAATATATCTCTTGTTGAAATGATATTCTAAAAAGCATTGTGGTTTTTCAGCGCCAATATAGACTAGTACACTCATTAAAAATACGTAGGTTGCAAGTTGAATATAATTACATTAGTTGTTCTATTAAGTAAGGATAAGAATTATGGATGAACAACTTCTTTATTACAATTAAGAGTGACGTTTCGGTGTAGGTTCAAGCAAGTGCTTGAAAACGGTGTTAGAACCTAGACCGACACGTCGCTCTTAATGTTAATAAAGAAGTTGTTCATCCCTAAATTCTTATCCTTACTTAGTACTCCAACTCCTAAGTGCCTATCAAAGAAGTTGTTCTATTGTACACGTTTCCGCACATATGCTGAAGTCAGCATTATGTATTATGTAAATTGTGTTCAAATGCAATTTTCGTTTCCAATAAAATCAACAAAAAGCATTTCCATAATCATATCAAATCTCCATTGTACGTTTCCGACAATATCATAAGCATGTGTTTATGAATCACAATGAAATAGGGATGATACCAGGTGTTTATCCTGCCCCCACCGGTGGTAACCGTCACAAACACATGCAAAGACAAGTCAAGTGTTCATCTAAACATTGGAACATATGGTACAAGTCAAAATAAGCAATTCCATCGGACATAATGTTCTTCACTTGTCTACCTGAGGTCCTGAATGTTGTAACTCAGATCAAACAACTTTTGATCAAGAGTCTCATGACGCTCTTTGAGATCTTCACAGAAAGAGTATGCTCGATTGTACCTCAAAACCGTGAAATATATACTGAAATGAGAAGGGTTTTCTAGAAATAGAACTGTCATTTGACTTGAGTGAGTGAGTTGGATTGTAACCTCTTTTAGCCATATCACGTCGGGGGACACCAGAAATAGGTTTCACACATGGGATCGAACACGGGCCTTTGGCGTGACGAGTGAACACTTTAACCACTAGGCTACCCCATCGCCCCTGACTTGAATTACAATAACGATATCCCAATTGTGTAGAACAAACAAACAAACAAAACAAAACTTTGGGGAAGCCCACAAACACTGAAATGGAGCTGAAACATTATCAGGGCGAATGATAGGAATCGGGACGTTTCACAAAGCGATCATAGCTCTATGATGATCGTAAATATATACGAGAAACAACATTTAAGGGAACACCAAATTTATTCAGAAATTTTATACAAAGAACTGACGTCACAGTGTGGAATTCAATGTTCACAGTAAAGCACATTAGAGGTCCATCTCCGTGACCATCGATGCTGACACGACATCCTTGGGACATCCTTGAAATCAAACGCCGAATTACCTGTGTGCTATTTGTTATTCTTACTGAACATCTGGCTTCCACTACACGGGTGCTTCATTACCTGTGTGCTATTTGTTATTCTTACTGTACATCTGGCTTCATTACCCGTCTGCTTCATCACCTGTGTGCTATTTGTTATTCTTACTGTACATCTGGCTTCATTACCCGTCTGCTTCATTACCTGTGTGCTATTTGTTATTCTTACTGAACATCTGGCTTCATCACCCGTGTGCTTCATTACCTGTGTGCTATTTGTTATTCTTACTGAACATCTGGCTTCATCACCCGTGTGCTTCATTACCTGTGTGCTATTTGTTATTCTTACTGAACATCTGGCTTCATCACCCGTGTGCTTCATTACCTGTGTGCTATTTGTTATTCTTACTGGACATCTGGCTTCACTACCCGTCTGCTTCATTACCTGTGTGCTATTTGTTATTCTTACTGTACATCTGGCTTCACTACCCGTGTGCTTCATCACCTGTGTGCTATTTGTTATTCTTACTGAACATCTGGCTTCACTACCCGTGTGCTTCATCACCTGTGTGCTATTTGTTATTCTTACTGTACATCTGGCTTCACTACCCGTGTGCTTCATCACCTGTGTGCTATTTGTTATTCTTACTGTACATCTGGCTTCATTACCCGTGTGCTTCATTACCTGTGTGCTATTTGTTATTCTTACTGAACATCTGGCTTCATCACCCGTGTGCTTCATCACCTGTGTGCTATTTGTTATTCTTACTGAACATCTGGCTTCATTACCCGTGTGCTTCATTACTTGTTTGCTATTTGTTATTCTTACTGTACATCTGGCTTCATTACCCGTGTGCTTCATCACCTGTGTGCTATTTGTTATTCTTACTGTACATCTGGCTTCATTACCCGTGTGCTTCATCACCTGTGTGCTATTTGTTATTCTTACTGTACATCTGGCTTCATTACCCGTCTGCTTCATTACCTGTGTGCTATTTGTTATTCTTACTGTACATCTGGCTTCATTACCCGTCTGCTTCATTACTTGTGTGCTATTTGTTATTCTTACTGTACATCTGGCTTCATTACCCGTCTGCTTCATTACCTGTGTGCTATTTGTTATTCTTACTGTACATCTGGCTTCATTACCCGTCTGCTTCATTACCTGTGTGCTATTTGTTATTCTTACTGTACATCTGGCTTCATTACCCGTCTGCTTCATTACCTGTGTGCTATTTGTTATTCTTACTGTACATCTGGCTTCACTACCCGTGTGCTTCATCACCTGTGTGCTATTTGTTATTCTTACTGTACATCTGGCTTCACTACCCGTGTGCTTCATCACCTGTGTGCTATTTGTTATTCTTACTGTACATCTGGCTTCACTACCCGTGTGCTTCATCACCTGTGTGCTATTTGTTATTCTTACTGTACATCTGGCTTCATTACCCGTCTGCTTCATTACCTGTGTGCTATTTGTTATTCTTACTGTACATCTGGCTTCATTACCCGTCTGCTTCATTACTTGTGTGCTATTTGTTATTCTTACTGTACATCTGGCTTCATTACCCGTCTGCTTCATTACCTGTGTGCTATTTGTTATTCTTACTGTACATCTGGCTTCATTACCCGTCTGCTTCATTACCTGTGTGCTATTTGTTATTCTTACTGTACATCTGGCTTCATTACCCGTCTGCTTCATTACCTGTGTGCTATTTGTTATTCTTACTGTACATCTGGCTTCACTACCCGTGTGCTTCATCACCTGTGTGCTATTTGTTATTCTTACTGTACATCTGGCTTCACTACCCGTGTGCTTCATCACCTGTGTGCTATTTGTTATTCTTACTGTACATCTGGCTTCACTACCCGTGTGCTTCATCACCTGTGTGCTATTTGTTATTCTTACTGTACATCTGGCTTCACTACCCGTGTGCTTCATCACCTGTGTGCTATTTGTTATTCTTACTGGACATCTGGCTTCACTACCCGTGTGCTTCATTACCTGTGTGCTATTTGTTTTTCTTACTGTACATCTGGCTTCACTACCCGTGTGCTTCATTACCTGTGTGCTATTTGTTTTTCTTACTGTACATCTGGCTTCATTACCCGTGTGCTTCATCACCTGTGTGCTATTTGTTTTTCTTACTGTACATCTGGCTTCACTACCCGTGTGCTTCATCACCTGTGTGCTATTTGTTATTCTTACTGTACATCTGGCTTCACTACCCGTGTGCTTCATTACTTGTTTGCTATTTGTTTTTCTTACTGTACATCTGGCTTCACTACCCGTGTGTTTCAAAACCC